GGTATTGATAAAGAAACATTTATTTTTTGTATACGATAGATCTAGACGTGTCTAATTTCTCAATCGATAAAGCACTCTAATCTTGTGGCTGTTGGTAATAGCTACTTTCTGTTTATATTCTGAATTGGTTCCTGTCGTTAGTGTAACATTAACGATTTCAGATCATATNTCATACGTAGCTTAGCCTGTTAACTTTATAGATTTAAATTTTATGTATTACTGCAAACTTGCATCATGGATAGCGATCTATACAACCAGATTTTACACTTCTACACCAGCTTCGAAAGAAAATATCCCCAAGATATTTACCACTTGGATCGCGCTAAACGATTGATTGCACTGTATCCGACATTAACGAATTCAGTATACTTTGGGGCACAATCTAAACTATCACTGCCAAGAAGACCCTACAGCACCAAAAGAGATCGCATTTGCTGCTTTCGAGCTACTAACTATACACTTACAAGATCTTAAGAAAGCCACAACATTATTCTCAATCAAGTCGTGTAGCATATGATCGCTGATATCGCCGCGAGGGTTCCAACTCTGCCTAATCGGAATGTTCATGATTATATGACCGACTCTGAAATAACACAAGACGGAATATGGCTATTAATGCCCAAGTTATGGCTGCAGCAAGTTTGATAGGCTGTGATATCGTAATTTACACATTAATTAGCCTGCAAAAGAGATGTCTGACGTAACCTGCCAATTTCAGTCTTTAAATCTTGACTGGCGGTGCTGCATTCCTAGAGAATATTTCACAGCACCCAAATGCTGTAATTAGAGTTTAAAAAATATATTTTCTCAACAAATGGTTGATTATAATTGCTAAATAATAGATTTGTTCAGATCAAAGTCGCTAGACAAAGTAAAGGCTAACGTTTTCTTCAAAACGGGAAGACCCGAAGACCTTGATAAGTAAAGTTATAATTATAAAATATCTATGGAATTTGTGCTCCATGTGGCCTGCATGAGATTAGTTGGTGTGAAATCAGATCAGAATTTAATCTTATTTCCTCG